TCCCTGGATTATGCGAAGAAAAATGAGCCCAAACACAGACTTGCAAGACACGGCCTGTATGAGAAGAAAAAGACCTCAAGAAAGCAGCGGAAGGGACGCAAGAACAGAATGAAGAAAGTCAGGGGCACCGCAAAGGCTAACGTTGGTGCTGGCAAAAAGTGAGCTGGAGATTGGAGAACAGCCGAAGGAGTAGATTCTGCAGTGCGTGTCTGCAGTGACTGCGACTTTGTTCACGAGAGGATTTAATAAACTGTAAAACCTTCAAAAAAAAAATGACTATGAGAGACTTCATATATTATCTACCAGATAACAATCCAATTTCTTCTTCACTGGAACAAGAAAAGAAAACTGAAAAATCATTGACTCCAGTCCAGACAAGAGGCACACAAGACAGCCAGAGTGCTCTTGATGCTGAAGACAGCGACGCAGCGGAAGGGGAGACAGATGATGGTCCATTACTGGTGTCGAGAGTGAAAGTGGCAGAAGACGGTTCTATTATTTTGGATGAAGAACGTTTAACTGTGGAAGTTTTAAGGACAAAAGGCCCCTGTGTTGTTGAGGAAAATGACCCTATATTTGAGTGTGGTTCTACAACTACATATTCCAGCTTTAAGAAAAACTATTACTCTAAACCATGGTCAAATAAAGAAACAGGTATGTTCTTTCTAGCCATCAGCATGGTAGGAACTGATTTTTCTATGATTGGACAACTTTTTCCTCATAGAGCAAGGATAGAGATTAAGAATAAATTTAAACGTGAAGAGAAAACAAATGGGTGGAGAATAGACAAAGCATTCCAGGAGAAACGCCCTTTTGACTTGGATTTTTTTGCTCATTTGCTCCAGAAAGTTCTCGCAGAAGAAGAGAAAAGAAAACAAAAATCGACTAAAAATCAGAGTGCAATGAAAAAATCTTCCAAACTTCGGAAAAATGTAAAAGGTAGTGAGTTTACAAAGAAGTGTGTGGTGGAAGCATGTGATCTTCCTCAGTGGTGGTAGATTTGCCTACCGTCCCATGGGCATCGAGAATCTGTGCAGCTCAGGCGGAGATCATCAGAGCCTTCAAATAGAGGGAGTTTGTGTTTCTTCATTTTATCAGTTGGGCTAAAATAGCACCCTTTTCAATTTTGTAGTTGGCATTGATGCTGTTGACATTGTTCTGGTATCTAGGCATTGTTGTAGCTGATCATAGAACTGATCAAATTGAATAATAAATTTTCTTACTATCAAAAAAATAAATAAAAAAAGGAATATGTAAACATTAAAATATCTGTGGGGCCAAGCAATGGCCATGACTCATCCACATGGCTGACACTGACAAAGGATCTACAATCTGAGGTACAGGGTCTCAGGATAAATCCTGAAGGGATTTGACTGACCTTATCATATTCAAAAGCTACAACTCTTGTTGTATAGGTCTTGCTTTATCTTGGTCTTAACCATCCAGCAGAAAAGTATAAAAACGAAGTATAAGAAGTAAAGCCATGCTGTTATGTTGAGCTGTAGGGGACTCAGGTAAACAATTTCTGATGATGCCAGTCAAGCAGAAGACCCAATACTATTATGGACTACTGCACTCTTCTAGAATATTTTGCTGAGTTTACACACCTATAATATTCAAATTATGGAACTTAATAAAAAAAGGGGATACAGAAAAAAATAAAAATAAAAAAATAAAATATCTGTGGGTAGTGGAATGAGATGATTTTTTTTTTTTTGCGGAACCGGGGATCGAACTCAAGCCCTTGAGCTTGCCAGGGAAGCGCTTATTCTACTGAGCCATCTCCCTGGCCCCTAGATGATTTTTAAGTTTATTTATTTTTAAATGATTTTAAAAGTAAAAATATAATAAATACACTGAAAAAAGTACATGGAATTCCCAAAGGTGGATTTTATAGTAAAACACAAGATAAAATTAAGTACATGTTTAGGATAATACCTGATCCTTCTGAATTCTCATCTCGTCAACGTCACTTTCCACATACTGAGGGTCTCGCGCGGGGTCCTGGATGTCTTTCAGTGTGCTGATTCTCTGAAATCACAGTTCTCTAAATCATTCCGTGCCAGGATGGCTACCATCAGTCTACCAAGCCAAGCTCCCATCCTCCCCCCCTTCTGGAAGGCTCCCCAAGATCTATCAGGCTTTTATCATCAGCGGTGAGGCCCTCTTCACAGCCCCCAAGGCCTCTGGCCTCCTTCCCTTGCAGATGCTGTCTCTGGCTTGTCCAGCAGCGAGAACTCTGCTGAAAGGTGCAGCAGGAGCCGCAGCCTACTCAGCTTTTCACGTTCACGGTGCTTTATTTACTACAAAGGTTGAGTAAATGTTTAGTTGAATTTTGAGCATGAGAGATAAAAACAAAGTTATCATATTGGGCCTTCAGAACATTTCCTATAACTGTAAAATAGTGCTAAAAATTCTAGCTTTAACCAAATAGAAATACATACCTTTGGTGGAAACAGCTTTTCATAGACTTTTTTCCACAGCTCCATTGGTGTGTGGGCATGAAACTTTCCAATGTCATTGTCAGGAACAGGAGGACGTCCTGAAATAGTTTATTCCAAGTGACTTCACTAATTAAAACACTGCAAACTATCAATAAAATAGGTGAACAAAGCAGAGATGTCTCATTTTTTAAGTGACCATTAAAATTTACCTTTATCCTCTATAGCAAGACTACAGTACTGGAAGAGCTCAGGAGGAGCGGGGAGCTCTAGTTCTCATTCTTCACATTCTAATGTTACAGCCCCTTCACATTAATTCCAGATCTTGGTCTGACCCTGAATCCCTGGATAAATGTACTAAGGCTGTAACACTCTAGCATCATTTGTATTATGTAAAACTGACACAACCTAATGTCCACCAATAATCAATGAAATAAATTACTATGCAAAACCTTGCTTTGTAACACTATCCAGTGGATAAAATAACAAATAGACTTGTATGGAACATTATGGAAAAACCTTAATGCACAATCATTAAAAATTCCAAAATGGTAGCTTACAGACTGATAAAATTATATTCAAAAAGTTTTTCCATACACCACACATGTACTTAAGTGCACAGAAACTAGAGAGATATATGATGCATTTGTTCCTTATATGTATTATCTTAAGTTTTTACAAGGAGACTCATTCATGTACTGCTTATATAATTTATTGGCATCGTTTTCTCCTGCCTTTCTTCCTCTCTCTCCTTCCTTTTTCCCTCCCTACCTCCCTTCCTCTCTCCTTCTCTCCTTCCTTCCTTCCTTTCTTCCTTATTACGCTAACGTGTGACTTCAGGGCTTCCTGAATGCTAGGCAAGTGCTCCACCAAGGAATCAGACCCCCAGCTCACTTGTGTAATTTCATTTGAAAAATTTAAAAATTTGCTGTGACTTTTTGGCAATTTTCAACCTGAGCTTTATTATCTTTATGTTTATTTTTTTCCATTTTCTATATTATTCACCAAAGTTTTTAGTGATGATCTTCCAGGCCTCCCTGCCCCTTTGGTGGGAAAGGCACTGATACGTTCCGTGGATCTCTGCCAAACTCCTCCGTGCATATGTCTGTGTATTTTCCATACAACCTCATCACCTGCAACTGGCCGCTGATCTACTACCACAGTGAAGACACTGACCAATTCCATCACCACAAAGATGCCCATGGTGCCCTTTTATTTTTTTAATTATTTGTTTATTTAGCACAGGGTCTTGCTATGCAGCTCGGAATCATAGTGATCCTCTTGTCTCAGCCTCCCCAGGGCTGGGATTACAGGCATGCACAGCATACTGTTTCGGTGGCCAGCACAGCGCACCTGGGGTTCCAGGGCTGGCACGGCATGCAGTACCTGGCCGGCCCTATGGTGCCCTTTTAGAGATACACCCTCTTCTTTCTAACTTCTCTCTTCACTTCCCCACCAAGAGTCCTGTTTCCATCTTCTGACAACTAATTTGTCCTCCATTCTAAAGTTGCATTTCAAAAATTTTCAAAAATCTCACTCCTCCTAGCCTTCCCTGACTGGCTTTTTCTCATTTAGTGTAATTCCTTAGAATTATTTTAAGTGGATTATTTGGGGTACTGTTGTTATTGTTGGGTTCTTTACAGATTCTAAATACTAGTCCTTGACAGATACATGGTTTAAAAATAATTTCTTCCAGATTGCAGCATGTCTTTTCCTCTTCTACACATGAGCGTTCACAGAGCAAAAGTTTTAAATCCTGATGAGGTCTAAGCTCCACAATTTTTTTTTTTTTTTTTTTTTTTTTTGCGGAACTAGGGATTGAACTCAGGCCCTTGTGTGTGTTAGGGAAGCACTTATTCCGCTGAGCCATCTCCCTAGCCCCTCTCCACGATTTTTTAACTCAGTAATTATCAACCTTTTTCTGATCTCCACCTATTCCCATGGGTAAAAGAATTTCATCAGCATTATCTATTACCACACACAGAAATTCCTGCTATTATTTCTCCTTTAAATTAGGTTGGCACTAATGACAATTATAAAAATCAGACTTCATGACTGCTCTTTAAGCAAAACCACCATTCCTTTCATTACTCTTCAATCTATAATCTCATTACAAAGATCTTTACATTTGAAGTCAAATAACCTTTATCTTAGAAGAATAAGAGAGGAATGGAAGATAGAAAACTGCCCATTACTGTGTTACAAGCAAACCACACTGTCCCAAGAGCATCGTGAACTGCTAGGCTCAAAGATCTTCACAAGGAAAACCACACTGGTGTACAGATAAGCAGCTTGAAATATGAGCTCTAAACTTGCCCCTTGGTGCAGAAGACTATGGAATCTGAGTTTAGGAAATACACCCACTAGAAAAGCAAGCTGTTTTTTATAATGAAAAATTAAGGCATACCCTCATTGGTACCACTGTGTTCTCTATGGTTTATTCTATCATTTCAGCTGTGATTTTCCTAACTATGCTCCCAGCTTATTCTAAACTCAAGGAGCTAAAATTTAAAAGTATCTGGAGAGCATTGAGAGAGAGAAGATATCCAGGCACGTATTTTTGGGGGACAGAGATTAGAGGTGAGTGTCTCATGTGGCACCATCCCTCCAGCCACACACGTGGCAACATGATGCAGGCCATAGCCATGTTGGATGCACAAATAGAGACACACAAAATGACGGCGGTAAGAGAGAAACCAGAAGCGCTGTGTGCTGAGGATCAGGGAACATGGAGAAGGATAAAAATCAATAAGCAATTTAAAAAGGTTGAGCAATCTTAATAAGCTCACCAACCTATCTGACATAAGGAATCCAATCCCGCTGTGATAAACAGTGGTTTATTCTGATCCACACATATCGATTTGCTACATGGAGAAGAAAAAAGATTCTAATTTAGTTTAGCAATTAAATAAGCCCCACACTCCAAACATGAAAACTAAGTTTTATATCTAGCCAATGATGAGAAAAATTGCCCCAAATGAACAAGTGAATATCAATTAAAGTGATTTCAAAAATTAAAATACACCATAATGAAGATTATAAAGAGGAAAAAAAGTGATAGACCCACATCACCTTAAATCCAAACCAAGAAAAATAGAAAATCTAAGAATGAAATATATTAAAATTTTCAGCTCAATTTCAAATTAACATAAGAAAGTAATAATATAGGGAAAGCTCCTAATATGGGGAAAAAGTAAAACAAATCAGTATACAAGTATTTTCTTCCAGTCTCAAAATAATATTATATAATATTTTACTTGCAAAATTTGACAAGTACTTAAACAATATGAAAAGCAAGAACAGTCTAATCAGCCCTTTAAGAATAACCTTCTGGGGCACTTTCCTGATCAGGAAGCAAAATTTTGGGGACAACCAATCAAGTGAGGTAGAATTAGCAAAAAAGAAAAAAGAAATAAAGTTTTAGCAGTACCTTTTATCAATGCCAAATGCCAACTGGTTGACAACTCCACGCATTTTTAGTAATAGAGCTTCTGATTTACTGGTAAACTTTACAAAACAAGCAAACGAAAAGGAGACAAAATTCAGGAGAATAAATTACATACTCTGCTTTCCAATCATCAGATCCAATAAATATGACCTTGAACAAGTACAACTGCAGAAAGGATTATGATTTGTTTACCCAACAAATAGAATGAATAGACAAAACAAACGCAAATAAAGAAACTTCGGCAAGTGCAACTCTCTATTCAGACCTCCAGGGTGTATGACGTGGAAAGGACTTGTTTGTGCACAAATCATTTTAGCAACTCAAAAATACTATCATTGTCACAAAATTAAATATATATATATATATATATATATATATATGTCTAAATGAGTTTACATGTGCACGCACATGTATGTAAACATACCTAGTATGGTTTAAAAGAACAATTCCTAACAGTTGGTTTGGCTAGAAGATAAGAGGCATATATCACAAATAACTTTTACATCCAGGGACATATTGCTGCCTTCAAAGCAGTCAACATGGGACCTGCAGACCGGTACAATACTGACACTAACATTATTTAACCTGTTTTGGTTTTTTTTTTTTTTTTTTTTTTTGCTCCGAATGCCCTCATGGCTGGTTTGGCTGGTTTGGCTGGCTGGAGAGTTGTGGGGATCGAACTACAGCAACCTGAGGCTGACAGCTTTGTGGAAGCAGCCACTTAAACAAATGAGCTAAGGCCAGGCCCCCATTTAACCTGTTTTGAATTACCTTTGAAGCCTGAAAAATTAAGCTACTGAAATACTATAACTAGAAGAACCACAACTAGAACACTTTTGTAGACTGGAAGGAGGTGGATATTATTAATAATTAAAGCCTGACATCAGATGAAAAACTCAGGGTACCATACAAATTGTGTGCGTGTGTGTGTTACAGGAAACTGAACTCAGGGCCTTTGCACAGAGCCACACCCCTTTTTATTTTATTTTTTTACTTTCTGAGCTGGGGTCTAGTTAAATTGTTTTGGCTGGGCTCAAACTTGGGGCTGTTCTGCTTCTGCCTCCCCAGTCGGTGAGATTACAGGCGTTTGCCTAGCTTGCTCAACAAATCGTTTATGCTGAGATTTGATTTTTGAAAATAAAAAATCAGAATGACTAAGATGTATGGAAGCAAATAAAGTGACCTTAAACTGAAAATATAATATAATTAAATAAGTCAAAGACATCAATTTTTTGGTTCCAATTGCAATTCTTCAAGATAAATTTCATTTTGGAATAAGAACAGGCTTCCAAGGACAGTATCCAGGGGAGAATACTTTGTAAATATCCAAGACTTGATACATTTAAAAGAAAGTATTGGAGGGGCTGGAGAGATGGCTCAGTGGTCTAAAGCACCCACTTGGAACAAGCTTGGCAAAGCACAGGGACCGCAGTTCGATTCCCCAGCACCACATGCCAGCCAGCCGCGCCCCCTGCTGGGCTGAGCTGGCCACACACACACACACACACACACACACTAAATAAATGTTAAAAAAATTATTAAAAAAAAAAAAAGAAAGTATTGGAAAAATTTTGATGCTTCTAATAACTTTTAAAATCTACACAGAAAATTTTCATTCAATTAAAAACACAATTTCCCCACTTAATTATATTTCTATACTTATTATATTAGAGTAATGTTAATTATTATATTCTTAATTTAAATTTTATATAATTCAATTTTTACATTTAAGCAAATTTTATTTACTTATTTGGGGTACTAGGGATGGAATCCAAGGCCTCCCACAAGTCAGGCCAGTGCTCCAAGCTGAGCTACATCCCCAGCTCTTTAAAAACCATTTTACTCTGAGGTAGGCACTTGTTAAGTTGCCCATGCTGGCCTCAAGTTTGTGATCCTCCTGCCTCAGGTTCCTGAGTAGCTGGATAGTTTTTTTTTTTTTATGAGCAGAATATATTTATTGGGGAAGGAAAGCTCCTGTCCTATAGAGGGAAAGAAGGGGTACCTGAGCAGATTGTCCCCTGGATAGTCTTATTAAATATACTGATTTCATTATCTGTGATTTTAAAAAAAGGAACCTAATTACAAACATATTTCCAAGAACATAGGGTTGTGTGAGTGTTCACTATTTTCTAACTCAACTCTGTTGAATCTATCGAAAACAGGCTTCACATACAGCTGTAGACGTCTTGCTTAGAACAAACTCAGGGTCTAAGAACTCAGGATTCCCCAGAGCAACTCATTCCACTTTCAGGCCATGATAATATTAGAAAGTTTTTCTCCTGACATAAATTATCTTTGTTGATTCTTTTCAAAATAATAAATAATATTTTCTAAAGTGCTCGGTCAATCTGTAAGTAAATGGAATTCAAACATAAAAGGCAATGATTTTTGAAGAAAATACACAATGAAATGTATCTAAAATGTTATAGAAAGTATAAAATTTGAAATAAAAAATCTTTTTGGTACCAGGAATCGAACTCAGCACTTCATGCTTCCAGGCAGGCGCTGAGCTATACCCGAGGCTCTGAAAATATATACTGTTTGTGATATTTCATCATAATACCATAGCCATGAAGGCAAGGGCTGTGCCATGGTGACTCCAGGAGTCTCTGATTTATAGGAAAACAGACCTTAAATAATTACTCAAAGGTGAGGGAAGCATTTTTTAATAAAAATGCTTTTATAGTACATATCGTATTTAAAGGATACCCAGTAAATTTGGTCCTGCCATGGGAGATGATGGCAATAATAATTACAAAAACCAACATTTATTAACATTTGTTCCAGGCCCTGTGCTAAGCATTGCACATGTACTCCCTGTTAAACCTCAACAGAATCCTAGGAAGAAGGTATTATTTTTATCCATTTTAGCCAGGAGGAGAGTTGACTTAAATGACTTGCTGAAAATCACATTTGAAGGGGGGCAGCATTACATCAGAGTTCATGTTTTAACCTCTACAACAAATGGACTTTTTTAGAGTCAACAAAGAACATGAACCTAGGGCCCTGCACATGTCAGGCAACCACACTGCCACTAAGCCACAACCCAGCGCCACATGAAGTCGTAACAGGAAACTCCAAATGAATAAACACGTAGTCACTTTATCTCTGTAAGTGTGGTTGGGCTTTATGGGTATGAAAATATTAGAACTTTGCTCCCAAGAGAGGGAGGTCACGTAGGAGCTTGCGGCCCACGTACATGACCCAGCACTCTGTAGGAAGAGGTCTTTGCAGTGGGAAAGGATGGAAGAAGTTCATCACCGAAGGCATTTACTATACATCAGGCTGCTAATTTCTCCAAATCTGTTACTCTCCGAGCCCAAGGGACAAGAAAAGAACATACCATCAATGATGCTCCATAATAATGTGCAACAAATCGGAGTGTCTTGCATATCACTTTTCTCTTCTCAGAGTCAAAATCCTGTAGAAATGTCACAGAAAAAAAGAAAAAACAAGGGAAGAAAACTAAGTATCTGTAGCAGTAAGAAGCAAATTACATGTAGAAACATTCTTTCCTATTATTTAAAACCCACCCTGAGGAGTAGGACTCCATCGCCTAACTGTGTTCCTACAGAGACTGAACGAGCGCTTCAGGTTTTTAAGCCACAGCTATCAGATCTTTTCTTTGTTTAAACACTTAGCTCAATAGAATTCAGATATACGCACACATTTTACAGTGTGGAATACCCTAAGGATTCTCTGACAAGCAAAGATAAGGAGAAACTAATTGTCTACTTTCTTCAATTTCAAAGTTGAAAAGAGAGTTCTATCCCTCAGTGGTTACAGATTCATTTTCTAAATCTTCTGCTTTATTCCCATTCTGACCACTGTTTTTATTTTAGGCAATTTTTTTTCTGTCCCAACTATATCTTTGTTTCCAAACCCTTTAAGATGTGTGACTTAACTCATCCCTTCCAGAGTGATTTTTATTCCATCCTTATTTTCATACCTCCCCCACAGAGCATAGCCGTGCACATCCAATAAACTCAGCTAAAGTGGAAGAGCTTACCTGAAAAATATCATATTTACTTCCAATTATGACCAGAGGTACTGGAAATGGGTCAATTAATTCACGATCCTGTTAATAAATGCATTTGAATAATTTATTGTAATTGTTTATTGCCATGTGGCTCAGAACTTTCTGTTTACTTCTGAGAATAGGCCATTTTAAGTCACTTGCTGATTTATCATAGAATTTGATTCAATATTAACTCTCATTTACCAAGTTATATTTCTTAAGTATAAAACTAGAAATGGCAATTCCCCAAATTACTGTTTTTTTGTTTTCTTATACTATATTAACTGCTTGTTGCAACCTCATGGGCCACAGACTGCTGTTCTACACAACTGCCTTCAAAGAACTTCTGCTACCATCACAGCTACGTTATAATTAGTTTCAGATGATGGAGAGATACAGAACATATTACAGATACCAAATGAATGTACAATACAGAGTGACAGTGAAAGCTGTTAAACTGTACCTCTTGCTTAAATTTGTAGCTTCATCTAGTCTTTGCCAGATGACTTTTGTACAGACTGGCTTTTTATCTTCATTTTACAGAGATTATAAAATCAATATCAAGCTATGACTTTAAAACTCTATTTCTTTTGATTGGGGTAATATGCCATAACAATCATAGTAGATGTCTAACAAAAAGACACAAGAAATCTTTTTCCTTGCTTTGCTCTTACTGAAGTTTTATGAAATTGTTATAATTTTCCAGTGAACAGGTTCATCTACATCAAGTGAATTTCAAGTCATGCATAAAAATCTAAAGAAGTTGTTTGTGATGTTATCTCAACTACATATGGGGCTGAAGACTCCAGGAACAGGACCGGCAGAACTCACTGGGTGTTCCTTCTGCAGGTTACTCCATCTCTTCTGTCTCATTTCAGAAGCTGCTTTAGAATTTGTCCTTCCCAGTTTCATTAGCACTTTATCTACATGGCTTCTTGTGGCTTGCAACAGATTTTCCATAGTTGGCCAAAGGTCATTAGGTTTTGAAAGATCCAGAACAAGAACAATAGAAAATGTCCTGAAAAAATAAACCCCCAAAGACTCAAAATAATGATCATTTTGAAACACCAGTGTACTGAAATTTATCCAAGAATAATAAAATATAGCTTAGGAGAATTTTTAAAAAGCATTGTTCTAAGATTAAAAACAGACCAGAGTTACAGTCTTATGTATCCCAATACTTCTGTGATATTTCAGTATTACAATCAATAGTAGAACTGAAATTTGTTTCAACTAAAAACAATCCAGTTTAAAAAAACAAGCTGCAAGCATTTGGGTCCAGCTGAGCTATGCTACATGCAACTGTTATCATGTGCTCCAGAGGGAAGCAAAAGACCAGTAAGAGTGGCAGCAGGGACGCAGCACAATCAAATGAGGCAAGGAATGCATTTACTGATGGGAAACTTTCCAACTTGTTTATAATTTTTACAATAATCCTTTCTAGAAGATGTTATGATATCTGTTTCATGGAACTAAAGACTGATCACAGACCTACTGACTAGTAAGCCATATAACTCATGTTTGGCTTCTAAGTTCCATGTCTCCTTTCTGTACCATCAGCCTCCCCAAAAGCATACCTATGAGCACCAGAGATTCGCCATGTGCATTATACCCATTTGGACACTGTTCATGCGCATCAAACAAATACATGCACACAGCCAAAAAAACACCCCCCCAAATAAAAACCAAAACCTTAAAAATGGTCAAAGGACTCAAATAGCTATTTCTCCAGGAAGATACACAGATGGCCTTACGTACAGGAAAAGATGTTAAACTTCCCTAATCACTCGGGAAATGCAATCCAGACCACAAGGAAAGCATGTCCTCTTGGCCACTGGAAAGGCTACTGTTAGAAGGAATAAAAAAGCTAGGAAGTAACATGAATTGCTGAGGACACTGAACCCCTGGCACATACATCCCTGGTGGGAATACAAACTGGTGTGGATGCTGTGGAAAACAGCATGGAGGTTCCTCAAGAAATTAAACATAGAATCACAATGTGATTCAGCAATTCCACTTCTGGGTCCCTAATAAGCAGCTCAGATTTGCACGGATATGTGTATACCAGGGTGCTTAGAAACATTACTGATAATAGTCAAAAGGCAGAAACAGCCCAACTGTCCATGGATGGATTAATGGATAAATAAAATGTGGTATGTACTATATGGTGTATTAGCCTTAAAAAGGAAGGAATTTTGAACATGCTACAACCTGGATGTACCCTGAAGACATCATGCTAAGTGAAATACACCAGTAGCTAAAGGGCAGACACTAGATGGCCTCGCGTGCACGATGTGCTGAGTGGTCAGATGCACAGAGCGTGAGAGGCGGCTGCAGGACTCGGAGGAGAGCCTCGGCCTGGGAAGATGAGGAAGCCCTGCAGACGCACAGCAGTGGGGGTCGCACAGCAATGTGGATGCACTTCCCACCACTGCGTTGTAAATTTAAAATGACAATAGCAAATTTTATATTATATGTATTTCTCACAATAAAAACAAGCATAGATAAACCTAGTGGTATTTCAGAAAATGGTCGTAAGGATGTAGAAGCATAATCATGGGTCAATGTGCTCTTCATCAACAGGACAAACACTCTGCTAATAGGCATGGAAGAATTATATGTTATTTGGTTATTTTGCTTAGGTCAAGTAAACCTGCTATTTTATGTAATTTATGCAAAATAGCTACTAAATTCTGCATGGTTGGTCTAAATTTAGAAAGTAATCTTAGACATTAGTTATTAAATTTTTCAATAAAATTACTGTATTATTAAACATCTCAGCAATCATTTCTATGTCACTTTAATAAGCTGAGAAACAGTTTAAGTATAAAATAGTAAAATAGATTTTTTTTTTTGAGACAGGGCCTCACCATATAGCCCAGGCTGGCTTTGAACTCACAGCGATCCCCCTGCCTCACCCTGAGCACTAGGATTATAGGTGCATGATTGGGCTAAAATAGATATATTTTCAGTAGTAAAAAAACCTAATTTTATTTTCAAGGTTTTAGTATAGTTTTATTTCAAACAACTACTATGGTTTAACTTTTCTATTGTGGTAAAATGTATATGACACAAGCATTTATTTTTTAAAATGAGAAATAACTTTGTTTTAAGAAAAAGAAAAATGGATTACTCAATTATTTTCTAAGATGAAAATTTTTTGTTTCCCAGTACTGTGGGAATACTTGCTTTTTGCTTATTTCATAGCAAATGATAACTAAAAAAGTTTTTAAAAAGAAAAACTTCTCTCTTTAATTTTTTTCCCTGATATTTGATATTTGAATGCAAGGCTTTTGTACTAATCTATATCCCTAGTTCTTTTTTCTTTTCTTTTTTTATTCTGAGGTACAGTCTCACTAAGTTGCTAAATTTTCCAGGCTGGGCTTCAATTTGTGATCCTTCTCCCTTAGCTTCCCAGGGTGCTGAGAATTCAGGCATGTGTCACCACACCAGATTAAGAACAAAAAATATATCTTAAAACAGGAAATCACACCACAAGAAATGTTCTATTACAAATAATCCAAAGTCTGTGGAAATTTATAATTTTATGAACAGCTATTTCAAAGGCAGCAAACTGCTAATTCCATTGGGCAACATTATCTCCTTTAGTGGCTGGGCTTTGTCTAACACAAGAGAATTATGTGTCAGGCTAATTCCAGTCCAAAAAAATGCTCCCAGACCAGCAACTGCCTCAGAAGTGAATGTTTTCCAGGAACGCTCTGGTTGCTCAGTCACTCAGGGCCAGGCCCTAGCTGCCTTTCCCCATGTTGCCCTCAGCCTGGCTCCTCTGGCCTCCAGCTGCCCACAGTAGTAGGGAAAAGAAGTAGTAAAGAAGCTGTGGGAACACAGGGCTTTCTGCAGAACCCAGAATTCCCACAAACCTATCAGGCCCAGAGAAGGGGACAGGACGACCCAGGTTGCAGCAGGTAATGAGTCTTCATCTTCTCAGCCTCTGGCCATGCAAAGCGGCTGCTGGGGCCCCTTTGCCTCCACCCCCTCCCCAGCTCTCCTCAGCCACACCACCTGGAGCCACCAGGATCCCAGGAAGCTCTGCTTGTGTCCATCACAGAGACAAATGAAAAACTATGTTGCTGGTAAAGCTCACGTTTCTGAAAACTAATGGCATAGGGAGATGGTGATTATAAGTTAAACAGCAAGATGTAAATGTGTTTATAAAACATGTTAAATGTCTATAAAGTCTATTTACAAATATGGGAAAGACTGAAAGACAGCACATGTTAATAGTGCCTACGTGATTCTCTTACTTTCTTTGTATTTTTCTGTACTTCTCCAAGTTTTCTTTATGAGCATACTTTGGTTTGTAATTAAATTAAATTAAAATAAAGTAAATTAGAAGAAAAAAACCTCTGGACAAATGAAGCCAATACTATCTGTATCCAGCTAGCTCTGCCCTGATGAGAAATAATTCCACATCCTAATGATCTTAATGCCTGAAATGTAACAAATACTTGCCAAGCCTTTTGTCTCTGGTCGAGGCAGCAGAAATGGTTTATGTTAATTTCTGACAAGAGCAAGAGCCTTCAGGCTCTAACTTGCTTTTCTTGGCTAGGATGAGTTCCCAGGAACACTGAGAAATGTTACAATTTTCCACATGTGATTTGGCCAACATGTGGGAGGCACTGTCAGAAAAGCACCCAAAGGGTCTAAGGTTCCCCCGTAGGTCCAGTTCTTTAAACTTGCTTTGTATTCCAATACATAGCCTTCCTCTGGATGAAACCTGATGATGTTAATTCACGTTAAATTTGAAGGTAGACTTAGACTCTCCCATTGCAGAAAAGTTCCAAGCTGAACTAGTTCGCACTGAGATGGATAGTGCTAAGAATTAACTTTCCAGATTTATTTTTGCAAATGAATTCATCACCCAAGTATTTTTAGATGTAACTTTTTGTTAGTGGGCTTGCAAAGTGTGCTACTAGTGGGAATGCCAGCTCTGCTTCGTTCAAAACCTCTTTGGAAGCATTACAGCGTAAGTATGTAGAAAGGAAGTGGGCACGAACCTTCAGAAACATCAAACTGTCGCCTCAAGTTATGACTCACAAGAGCCTACACGCAGTCACGCTGTGGATGCTGCATGCACTCACAGCTTTCCTGACCCGGCTCACTTACCGCAAAGTGTCACTTGTGATTGGTATGCTGATTAAGTCCAGTAAAGAGGTTCCTCCACCCAGTTCCCAAAAGTGAGCAATATCTTTTGGCTAAAAGAAAAAGTTTCCTTTTAATATTTTAATTTTTATTTGTTAATTTTAAGTGCTTCTTATACCTCATTAGCACCTGCCAGTAATAATTCTAGGTACAAAATGTTGCAGTCCTCAATCAACCCTTTCTCGACAGTCAAACATCCTTTCTACCCCACCCCTCCAAGTGTGCCAAAGGTCCCATCCCACAGAACAGAGGTGAAGCACTGAGATACACCCTCCACACGTGTACATAAAGGCCAGCTCTGGTAATACCTTGGTAGGACACATACGCAGGGCTCCAATTTTTCAAACGTCACATGTAAGATACACTTAAACAAATTTTAAATAAAATCAACCAGTTGACAAACACATTTGGTGTTCTAGATAGAGATAAAACAGCTGAGTAGGACAACATTGTGGTTTAGGAAAACAAAAGTTTACAAGGTAAATTAGATATACAGCTAAGGCCTGAGGAAAAGGGGCAAAGGGGGCAGTCTTGGCAGCAGATTAAGAGTACCTGAGCAAATGTCCAGGCAGATAATCTACGCCTGGGTCCCACAGCTGCTGGCAGGCTCCCCTGCCAGTGCAAAGCGTTGGTGGGGGTGCGGGGTGCCCTGAGGCTGACTGACCGCTCTACCTCTCAGGACTCGAAGGAGCAGCAGATGGACAGGGCTGGACAGCCAAGTCATTTGGAAATAAGACCTGCCATTCCTTGAATGCCGTTCTAGACTGCAAACTAAGGATGGCATCGCTGCACCTACCCTGATGGCAAGAAGCCTTTAGGCCATCAGAATTCTAGAAGGATCTCACAAGGTGCTTCCACTTAGAGCTCTTAGGGAACACTGAATCTTAGAAAGGCACAAGGCTTCTAGAATAAATTTAAAAAGTCCTGCTTAATGGTATAAAATTTAGAGGGAGAAAAAAAAAAACAGGAGAGAGTGAATCACACGGATTTTTATATTATTTGCTGCCATAAACCTGGCAGACAAATGCACACTAAAGAAGTCTATTTGCTTACATTACTAGTAATAACACTATAGAACAACAAGTTTCATTGTAGACATTTCTTTTTTTTTTTTTTTTTTTTTTTTAAGGGAAGGGTCTCCAGGGTGTTCAGGGTCTCACTACTAGATCGGACTCGTGGTGATCCACCTGTTTACAGCCTCCCAAGAGCTGGGATTATGGGCGTGTGCCACTACGCCCAGTCTCAATTGCCATCTCAGCGTGCCCTGGTGGTGGGGTGCCCTGGGAGTGGGGCAGGCACGGCAGGCCTGGGATCCCCGGCCCCTGTACCTGCTGCAGGCGCTTTAATCCGCTGAGCTCTTTGTCCAGCCATTCATTTCCATTATGTGCACACACTTTGATCATAGCCCCTCCCCTACTACTTTCCCTCGCCTTCCTTTTCTCCCTCCCAAAACCTTTTCCTCTTCTGTAATCCTCTCCCTTCAATTTTCATGCTGTCTTTTCTTTTCTTTTAATCTTAGACTCTACATATGAGAGAAAACATGGGATACTTGTCTTTCAGTCTGGCTTATTTCATAATGCAAGTTTTAGATGAATTTTAATTAAAAAAATTTTAATATGTTTTTACCTCATAATCTCTACAATTATTTCATTATATTTGAATTCTTAATGTTTGTGGGAGAAATTACATTGGAAAATCTCAATTCACAATTTCATGAAAAAAGATTTTAAAGCTTTTTGTTGGTGGATTCAGTGTATAAAGTTTTCTTTCTTTTTAATGCATTCAGTACAGGGTCTATAGGATCTCACTACATATATCTGACTTGTAGTGATCCTCCAGTTTTCAGCCTCCCAAGTCCTGGGACTAGAAGCTTGTGCCACCATACCCAGTCTCCTTCACTGTTTCAGTGTGCCGCGGGGGTGGGGCTGGCATGGCACTCTGGGGATTGAACCCCTGCCTGCGCCTGCCTAAGCAGGTGCTTCAGTCCGCTGAGCTATCTGGCCAGACCTTAATTTTCTTTATACACTGTCTAGTGAGCAAATTTTTGAAGCAGAACAATCTAGGAACATTTGCCTTTGTTATAGGAGAAGTGGGTCCCTGTGTTCTAGATTGTTCTTCCACAGAATTCACTTAAGAATGACTCCTGTTCTTGTGAGGACTCTGAAAGAGTCTACACAGGATTTGCCTCCCCTACCCACACATTGTTATAAGCTTTCCTTCTACGCTGAATAATTTCCAGCATTCCTCTGAAGAGACATTAGAGTGAAAAAAGGAAAATAGAGCATGTGGACTCAGTACTAGCAACAGTTTTTTAGGTATTGGGACCTGAATCTGGGGACTTGTCCCTGCTATGCAAGTACTCTACCACTGAACTACATCTCAGTCTTGTATTTGCTTTTTTTTTTTTTTAATTTTATTTATTTATTTGTGTGTGTGTGTGTGTGGCCAGCTCAGCCCACCAGGGGGCGGGGCTGGCTGGCATGTGGTGCTGGGGGATTGAACTGCGGTCCCTGTGCTTTGGCAAGCTTGTTCCAAGTAGGTGCTTTAGACCACTGAGCCATCTCACCAGCCCCTTGTATTTGCTTTTAATACTAATAATTTAGATTTTGAAAAGTATATTCTCATAAATACTTCAAAAGTCAAACCCATATTTTTAGCAGATTTTAGAGACAAAAGGCAATGCACAATATTATTCACATTTGAAGAACAGTAAGTAAGCCAAAGAACTAACTGTGGGAAAGTAATGTTATTTCAGCATTTTACGACAGCAAATGGGAAAGCTGGAATGTTCTCATAGTTTGAATTGGCTTCGGATCAGCTGGATCCCATATGAGGCCTAATGGCACACAGTTCTGAAGTATACACCTGGATGTGCTTAGTGGCTGTAGATAAAATGGAAGCCAAAAGCAACGTCATTGTCACGACTTCACCAATAGTACTGCAGTGTCCTTATGAACTCACTGTGTTATGACCTTTTGCTCTTCTTCCATACGTATATTCCAAAGCTAAGGTTGGCTTTGCTGGCTCGTCCCTGTACAAAGAAGGCAGAAAGTGTCTCTGTAAGGAGCAGGTGAGAGCAGCTTCTGATGTTATCTTATTCCATTCACTTTTTGCTTCCTCTTAAAAACTTTATTAGTACAGAAGTTACCTTAAGTAACAGCACTGAGTTAAAACATTATTTAAAAATGTATATGAGATAAGCCTTTTTAAAACTGTCTTAGTGAATCCCGGCATGCTGGGAGGATGAGAAAGAGGACCACAAGTTTGAACCCAGTATGGGCGACTTAATGAGATCATGTTTTGTTTTGGTTTGTTTTTTAAATTGTTTTTAAGGCTGGGGATGTAGCTCAGTTTGAAGGCTCTGGGTTCAATTTCCCCACTACTATAAAAAACAACAAACAAAAAGTCCTAGAGAATTTTAGTGGTGACTGCAGAGGTGAACAATGGCCCCTGCATGATGGGGCAGCCCCTGTTGGTGTGAGTGGGAAGGAGACAGGGCCAGCAGTATCCACGGTTACGCTGGGTCACCAGCTGTCCACGGTTCAGCCACAGAAGCACTGACATCAGGTTTATCCTGCCTTTGTGTGGGGAACTCGAAACTAATGAATGTCAATTTACTGGGGACTTCAATATTAATGCCATATTTGTACAGAAATCACAGCTCAAATATGGGCATCATAAGGTCAGTGAGCATTGTTAACAAATTTCATGAAAAGTCTAAAAACACTGATTCGGAAAATATTAAAATGATTTGATGAACACTGCATTTTATTGCTTGGTAAGTAGTTTTACGGTATATATTTCTTTATATTTAATTTTTTTATTGTGGTAAGGTACATAAAATGAAATTTACCATCTAACTATCTTTGTGTAGACAGCTCAGCAGTACTGCATATACCCACACTGTTCTGAGACTTCTCACCTTGCAAAACAACTCCACACCCACTAAACAAACGGGGACCTCCCTGTTTCCCTCCCCACGGTCCTGTTCTACTTTCTGCTCCTCTGCACTTGACTCCTCTACACATCTCACAGAAGTAGGATCAGACAGTTTTTGTCTTTTTTATTACTTCACTTAACATAATATCCTCAAGGTACATTCAAGCATAACTTCCTTTCCAAGGTGGAATAATGTTGGCATGCACTGATTTTTAATTTTTTTTACTGACTTTTAATATGAAGAACAAAAAAGAAATACAATTTTAAATATGTGATTTGTACATTTATATTTCTTATTTTAAATTTTACTGCTACATATATATTTCTTGATTCAAACAAAAAAGAATATTTGGCTATATTTCCTAAAAGACAAAAACCGTTTATGAAATATGATGCTTTTTAAGATAAAATTTGTGAATCTGATATTTAAGCTACAATATAGAAAGTATCCTTTTTTCTGAGCAGACTATCAAAGAATTAAAATTAATTTTTAATTCAGTATAGTAGTTTAGAGTATGTTATCCTGAACTAGATGGTTTATTATAGGAAACATGAATACAACCAAAAGAAAACCATGATTTCTAAAGAGGGAAGATGATCCAGGTGTCAGTAGGACAGTTCTCCTATGGCATAATGTTGTTGCTCAAAGGAATTACACCAAACCAAGATTTTATTATTTGTATTCTTAAAAAAAATATTTTTCAAGTGAATGATTTTCTTTAATGTGATCATAAGACCAAATTTCGTCTCTTTTAATGTTTTAGAATAAAAAGAAATATGCATTAGAATTAAAGGGAACTGAAATATTTTTAAAATTAATTGAAGTCTTTCTTTTTCAGCTTCCTGCCATATCTATTAATCATAATCCTAATGGTCAATCTGACTGCATGCTTCTACAGCATAAAACATTAGGCAGTATATAAAACAAATGGTAAAATATACGATTTGAGGATAAACACTGGGCATCAAAACTGTAAGCTTGACTAATTTAAAGATTATAATTATTGTTCTAATAAACCTGTACTAGGTAGAATAAAATAATTTAAATACCAAAGTAACACAGCCAAGAAGAATGGTAGTACTATTATAGGCTAGTAATTATATTAGTATTACTAGTAATTATACTAGTGTTTCCTCAGAGAGGTTTGCCCTGTGTTTTCTGACTTTTCATTAGTTCTACTTTATTTATTTATTTGTATTTTAGGGAAGGGTCTAACAGGGTGTTCAGGGTCTCACTACTAGATTGGACTCGTGATCCACCTGTTTACAGCCTCCCATGAGCTGGGATTATAGGCACATGCCATCATGTCCAGTCTCAATCGCCAGCTCAGGGTGCCCCAGGGGTGTGGCTGGCATGGCAGGCCCAGGGATCGAGCCCCCATTAGTTCTTTTTCTTTCTGGTGGAACCAGGGATTGAACTCAGGCCCTTGAGCTTACGAGGGAAGCGCTTATTCCACTGAGCCACTGCCCTGGCCCCCATTAGTTCTTTTTTAAAGAAGCTCTTAAAACTTATTCTAAGGCCTCATTAAGAATTAAATATTTGTTTGGGGTCTCAAAATCATTCCCTTTCCATGTCTTTCAGACTTGCACTTGCCATGTACACTACAATAAGCAGAAATGAATTTGAAAGGCTAACGTCACACTTACCTGTCAAGACACCGTAGGATAATAGTAGTCTTTCCCTGGAAATTAAAAAAGAAATACTGTTTAATGTCATCCATATGTAAAGTTGTATTAATGTTCATAAGTATGGCCCAAAATAGCTTTTCAAACCACTTGAATGATAAATTACCTAGAAACTAAAACTCAGAAACTTTCAGAATCGTTCTAAAGTTTGATAAGTGAAAAAAGTTAACGTCAACATTTTATCACAGAATAACTACACTGCTGTTATTATAATTATAAAGTACCACAGATGACAAATATTAGCAAATCACACCTTACTTTGGCGGTCAACTTGGCAGCTTCTTAGATTTTTTTCTCTACTCAACAATGCTAATTACTCGTTACGCTGATGATTAGTGTCTTCCAAAATGTTTTTTATTCCAATTACTGAAGTGGAAATAAAGAAAAAAGCTAACATACAAATAAAGGACATGTTGCAACTATGTTGGAAATAAGCACTTCAGAAGCTGGGCTAGCGTGCTTGGTTCTGGAAGATGCACTGTTACTCCAAGCCTCTTTTTCTGAGTCAGAAATGCAGGTTCGGGTCCCATCTCTGCTGCTAGCCATAAAATGTGGTCTCAAATCTTATCCACAAAGTAGCCCAGTGGCTTGAAAAACTATAGATTTCTTTTCTTTCTTTCTTTCTTTTTTTTTTTTTTTTGCTCCAAATGCCTTCAGGGCAGGTTTGGCTGGCTTGAGTTGTGGGGATCGAACCACAGCAACCTGAGCCTGACTGCTTTGTTGAAGCAGCCACTTAAAGAACTGAGCTAAGGGGGCAGGCCCCCCACTATAGATTTCTTAAGCTAGAAAAATTCTTTTTTAAAATGACCTCTTAAAAGAAAACAAGATAAACAAGAAACATTAGGAAAAACTCTGCCAGGGAAAATCTTTGGGCTTCAAAGAAAATAGTTTGGAAAACAGTGAATTAAGAAAAACACAACATATTATTATATGTTTCTTTTTAATTAAAATGCCTATAATTTTTACCAATAAGGTAATAAATTAATCCAAATTATGGGTGGAATATGCTCAAATTGGTTGAAATTTTTGTAATGAGACATAGAAAAAAAGTTGGGATAGCATATTGAAAGATGTTTATTGGATAGAGTTATACCAAATTGAAAAACTCAAAACAATCTAAATGTCTGCAAATAGAGAACTAGCTAAATTGATTAGTCTATATAATAATTTGCAATTATCAGGAATGACAATATAGAAATATACTTAAGTTGTGCGACACTTGTAATAAATTAGCATGATCCTGTTTTCAATTAAAAAAAAATTATTTTCCTGACAGATATCATGGTACACGACTTGTAATCCCGGCACTTGGAGGCTGAGGCAGGAGGAGCACGAACTCAAGGTTGGATTACACAGCGAAACTCTGCCTCAAACAAAGCCCACTAAAATCTTCTGCTTCTTCATGCATGTGCATGCACACGCGCGTGCGCGCACACACACACACACACATATTTCAAGGGATGTTACTATGTTAATAGTGATTATTTCCAGCTAATGGATTTGTAAGTAATTTACTTTTTTTAAAGAAAAATCAGATTTTCTAATTTTCCTACACTGAACATATATCATATGAGGTATATAAGATTTAAGTTAAGGGGGCCTGGCCCTAGCTCAGTCCTTTAAGTGGCTGCTTCCACAAAGCTGTCAGCCTCAGGTTGCTGGAGTTCGAACCTCACCACTCTCCAGCTGGCCAAAAGTGCCCTGAAGGCATTCGAGGAACAAAAAAAAAAAAAAAAAAAAAAAAAAAAAGATTTAAGTTAAAAAGTAATAATCTCTATAAAGAGCCAGAATTACTGTATTTTAGAATTGCAAGATATTTCAGATATCTAGGCAATTTCTTCAAAATTTTATGACTCTAGTATTGATTTAAATAATTTAATGATAATTTTATATAAATGTAGAGTATGTATGGTCACAATTTCAAATAATCATAAACTCAGTTCTGGGAACTGCAATCAAGTTTCAGGTTACCATCACAGTGAAAAATCCAAAGTTTAAAGATTCAGTAGTAAACTGTAGCCCTTTAAGAATATGTCTAGGGGGCTGGGGAGATGGCTCAGTGGAATAAGTGCTTCCCTGGCAAGCGCAAGGGCCTGAGTTCAATCCCTAGTTGCGCAAAAAAAAAAAAAAGAAAAAGAAAAGAGTATGTCTAGACTCTTGGGCTTCCTAATTCCTACAAATTCATGTAGGGACAATCAAAATGAATCTCATCTCCCCTCGAATGAGCTCAATCGTACCAGCAGCCCAGTCTTCTGACCCACCTGAGTCCTGTGACTCAGGTCACAGGTCCCCTACACAGGCCACCCTGACTCAGCCATTCCTGTTCTCCTTTCCTCTGAAATCCTTCTGTCTAGAACCCTACTTCCACGACTGGCATAATCCCTGACATCTCAACACCTTTGGAACGTTCTCTCCCCTTGAGGGCCTCTACTAAAACATGGCTGTTCCTTGGCTACTTCTTACTAGAAAAAGCCAGTGTAGGGGAACTCAGTCATCTTCCTCCTCCATTCCTCAGCCTATACAAATGATGGTGGGCAGAAATTACAGATATTTAGCAGAGTAGTGGTGCCTTAGTCCCCATCATCAAAACAGCAATCAATACTGTTGATCAGCAATGCTGTCACATTTGTCTAATACATTCTCTCTCCAATTTTTTTGCTGTAAATGTATGTGTTATTCTTGATCCTCTCTTTGGGTTGTTGACTTGGCCCCTGTTATCTGCATTGTTCCACTTACTGCCTGCCTTTCAAGCTTTAGACATCACTCTCTTCCAGAAGCTTTCCCAGGCCTCCAAGCTCTTGGGCAGGGGTGTGTGCCCTTCCTGTTCATCAGCACAGCATCTCCTGCTACTGTCATTGCTAGTAGATGAGCACAGGTACTTGGGTTCTTTCATGGTACAGAATGTGCCTTTCATCCCTATGCTCACAGGTACCAGCAGCATACATGCACATAAAAGATGTTCAATAAATGTCTGCTGAATGATGTATGAATGCAAGGTTGGAAGGTGCGACAGATAAAGGCGCTGTCAGTTTCATCAGAGTAACAAATGCCTCGCACATTAGTGGAGCACAGTTCTGGGTGTGTCTGTGGATGGTGGACATAGAGGTTGCAAAGTGAAAAGGAAAGACCCACTCTAGATGGGAGTGGCACCAACCAATAAGCTCAGAGCTTGGATGGAATAAACAGGGAAAGGAAAACAGACATGTTCCCTTTGCTTCTTCAGGAGAGCTCTGGTCTTTGCCATGGCCTTTGGAGATTCATTTCCAGTTTCTTTAGGCTTCCAATGCAGACCCTTCAGCTTTCTGACAGACTCAAACCAGACTTTGCAGTGAGCTCCAGGCCTTTGACAGCATCCTTCCAGATCTGCAGCACACAGACGACCATTCTGCATTCTTCCACTCTGATTCCACATGCGGCCATTACAATCCTACTTAGTAGCCAACATAATATTTATTTTTAAAGTATATAATTTTATATACTTTTATTTTTTTGCTACTTTAGTGAACCCTAACTAATGGAGGAAAGAGAGGAAGCAGCAAGGTAGCAGCGGGCCCAGGGGCAGGGCTGGCATGGCAGGCCCAAACTAATGGAGGAAAGAGAGGAAGCAGCAAGGTAGCAGCGGGCCCAGGGGCAGGGCTGGCATGGCAGGCCCACGGATCGAATCCCCCGCCCCTGCACCTGCTCGCAGGCGCTTTAAAGAATATATTCTGTAGTAAAAATTTATTTGTATCTTAAGACTAGTACTGATTATGTCCAAATTTATGTAAACCCATGTGTGCATCTATACTTCATAGGATGAAATGTAGAAATTGTTAAAATATTATGTTCAATATGAAAATCACTCTTCTCACAATAGCAAACTCATGAAATGAAATTCTTATTTAAAAATTTAAAATGTAAATGATCTCTATAATTCTTTTATGTTGAAGAGTTAAGTCCAGATA